CCAGCCATTTTCAGAAAAAAAGACCCGTATTTGCCTTGTACTTTACGAATTATATTACAGTTTTGGCATTTCTTTCTACATGCTTTTGTCCTCTCCCCACTCTCTGATATGTATCGATTTTTTTCTCACTGGCTTTTCATTTCTCACAGAGTCCTCCAGTATTTTTCAAATCCACCAGGAGCCAGAATCATTTTTATCCTTCATCACAGCACAGTGTGCTGGCAAAGAATTTCTTACAAGCTACTCCCTCACACGTACAGTTTCTTCTCTGTAGCATTCTTTTTTCCCCTTCGACAGTTTTAACTGTAGTTAAATATAGGCACTACGTGTGGAATGAAAACTGTCGTCAAGGTGCTGTAATTCATTAGATAAACCGGCCAGAGCACTTGATGCCACCAGTGAGTAGCAGCATGACCGCTGTTGTCGTTTTCGAAAGTTTGTCATTTTGGTAAACAAACTGGCATTGGTTAACAGACAAATTGACTCAAAAACTGCACTTATTGGAAGATAAATATAATATATTTTTTATAAAATCATGATACACTTTAAAAAATCATTAGAGTACATGGAATAGCCTAAATACGCTATCATGGCACACAATAATGGTTGTAGGTGGACTGTAACTAAACGAAGACGTCAATGCAGCAAATTATTATCAAAGAATGTTACTTGTCAATGAGAGAAAATTAACACAAAACATCACAAATATTTTTTTTCACTCCAATGTTCATAAATACGGGTCACGCTCCGGATAACAGAATATGCGGGAACAAATGATGTCACCACAAAAAGACAGGCAAGAAACGAACACAGATAAGTATAATATGAAATAAAGATGATAATAATATGCCCTTTTGAAACAAATATAAAAATAACCAATTCGAGGTGATCAAATTATTACACCAATGAGACTGCAAGTAAAAAAAAATAATCCGTTAACAGCGCATCAGATTAACCCAAACTCAAAAGTTGTCTGAAGGAGTAGGAACCACTTAATAAAAACATTGATTGAAAGTCAAAACCCCTCCAACGTCCCCCGTTCCCAGCCCCCTATCAGTATTTATCGGTGGATATCCACTCTCTTTGTCAGGTTGTTTCATTTAATTTGTTGAAAAATCTGTTTGTCTGTCCTTTCTATGTGATCATTATTCCTGTCCCTCTCATAAGCCCTCCTTCTCCTAAGACAATAATATTATACTTTGGCAAATGAAGATCAATAATGCTTTTGTAGACATTTTTATAGAACAACTCAGCTTGTATTCAATTGTTAAGTATGTTTTAAAAAAAGGATTTCGCGTACAACCAAATCATATAAAACACTTTGGCAACATCCTGGTTTGAAAATAATGCTAAGGTTGAAAATAAACACGTGTCGACGATTTGAATATGTGAATAGGTAGAGAAATCCTTTCATCGATCTCAGGTATTGAATGTTTTCTTCGAACGTTAATCACCACTACCAACAGACACAAAACTGAATGGAAATCAGAAAGCGTATCGAGTGAATCAACGGTTCATATTTAGCTACTCGAGACAGACCAAGGCAAAAGCAATATGATCTTCATACTCATATAAAACATGGTGTTAACAACACAGAGTTCATATAACGCACAGTCTTTTACAGTTCCCTTTTTATATCGAATTATAATGGGAACAAATACGAAATAGCGAAGACACTCGGTTGCTGAAAGCCCGAGAATGTCTCAATGTAGTTAACATCGAAACCGTTTATTTGACTTCGAAGTGAATGAAGAACCAATCGTGTTAACAAATAACAGGTCCAAAGAATTGCTATCCTTTTTCAAAAGTAAGTTAGAATGTACAGAAGACTCAAGGCGTGTGTTCTAATGGCCGAAGTCTAAAGTACATGAGAGATTGAGCTACGCCCTCCTTGAAGGTAATAATACAAGTAACAATAATAATGTCCAACTACAGCATTACCAGTGCTTCTTCACAAACCGAAAATAAGGAAATACAGAAAATAACCAAATTGATTAGTTATTTCAAGAGAATCTTCACGGTCTAACCAGCACAGAGTGCATGCAGAGCGAAATGGACAAAAATGAAACGAAAGTAAGAACAATAAGTGCATGCGTGCATTGTGACCGTGAAACGAAAACGTGAAGAAAAACCAAGGAGTGTGGTTACGAAAACAAGGAGTGCATTTCTATCTCAGAATAAAGTTGGGGATATTTCCCGGGTAACACGAACGGTGTTCATGTGCTCTAGAGCTGCTCGTCAAACTTTGTGAAAAGTGCAAACCTTTCTTCGTAACTCCATGATAGTGGAGGGGAAAATGAAGAAAGGAAAGAATGTGCATCAGCGAGAGCGCGTGTGTACAAACACGTCATGTACTCAAAAAGTTTAAACCTTGTTGGAACTGGCATAACCCTCGAAACGTTGATCTGAAAGTTAATAAGGGAACAATGCCATCCACAACGGTACAGGTTTTAACTATGAGAACTTTGCATGTTTGGAAAACAAAAAGTGCGAAAACACAATAAACCAATCGAAATTTGTTATCTGTGCATGAGGTTTATAGTGCAATATCCAAAAATGCATAACGTGCTTTTTTAATGGGAGTAAAACAGAGTGGACCTGCTTCATAATATGCAAAATACCCGAAATCAATATTCATTGCAACGAATCACACACGAAATAAAGAAACAAACGTGCTAGTAGTGTGAGACAGAGAAGCAGGCCCGTCTGTAGAGGGGTGCATGATAGTGGATCAGTTGACGCTACAATACGGATCTTTCTGTGAGAAGTGCCTACTATCTTCATAGTCAATGCAATAGTAAACTGACAAGATACATGCGAAAAAATGCAAAGCCTGACAATTGTACAACTTTGGGACAGTATCTTGCTCTCCAGCAAAACAACGAAAGTATAAATCTACGTTACTTGAAGTAACCACAAAATCATGCTGTGAAATATTATTCATTTAATAAGAAAGAGACTTCAATAAACTAAAGTCAAGTTTCATGAAGACGAAACGAAAGTGAGAAAGAAATCTATATTTTCCGGAAAAAACGAAACTCATCTGAATGAAATTTTTAAAAATGCGAAAGAATAGTTACTCATAACTGAGCTATTCTGGGATGCAATCGAAGCCGATGTCGACCATGATCTCAACGTTTATCAAACCTTAATAGTTTTGATAAACAGTATTGCGAAAAATTCCACTAAAATCAATGCAAAGTATTACAGTTTGTTCCCGTGCGTGATAAAAAGGGACACATATCGAAATATGAAATTAGAGAAGAGCGAAGAGAGATCTGGGTCTCAGCATCAACGAAAAAGTGTGTAAAGAAAGAAACGGTGTATCGAAGAGAACATTCCTCTTGTTGTGAATTCGAAGCGAAAATGTACACTGCAAGAATCATCCTAAGTTGCAACTAATCACTAGATCTAAATGAAAGTCGAATCTTTGCTGAGAATTCATATAATATGATAATATGAAGAGCCATGTAGACAAATGGGACGAAAAAGGTTTTGCGTATAAAGAAGATGGTCTTACTTGATCTAATGCTCTTGAAACGTCCATACCGGTCTAACAATAAATATCGTTTGAAGAAGATATATAAAAAGATGAAACAGGGAGAGAGAGAAAGAGAGCGTGACAGAGAGAGAGAGAGAGAGAGAGAGAGAGAGAGAGAGAGAGAGAGAGAGAGAGGGAGAGAGGGAGAGAGACGGGGAGAGGTAGGGTGTAAGAGGGGCATAAGTCTGCACAGACTAAACGCGTCGTGATAGGAATGCAGTTTGCTTTTGTTTCCAGACTATAAATACCGTAAAACAGAAAAAAAAGTGGCATAGATCAATGACTCTCGAGAAATGAAGACATACGAAAGACATTTCAATAATCCATTATTTAACATTGATGGACGGAATGTTGGTGTTGGGGAAATCACAAAGCTATAAAAGCCGTCATACAAAATGTAATCGTTGCTGAATGTTTTGTACAAAAATAGATCAAACAGAACAAAATCCACGCGTTATGAGTTTGTCAAACAGTATCACTGATTATATAAAAATATACTACAAAGTTTCACTCGAAGGATTAATTAAAGCCAGGAGTAAACGGTGTTTTGTAATGTGAAGCATATTATAATGCGTGAAGATGAAAATGAACATTATGACATATGGACAGCTTATTTGGCGAAATTTCTCATAAAACATAATGCATAGATATATTTGTTTTTCGAATGATTTTACAATGAGTATTTCTTAATGAGAGATGAGAGATTTTCGTGAAATGGTGATGAGTGGCAGAAACACTGTGTAATAACTGATGACAGTCCAGAACGTGATAACGATGAATGTAATAATAATGCAAAAGTAAGATCATCATTACGAATTATGCAAAATGTTTGAGAATTTTGACAGGGAATTATCTAAAGCACAGAGAGACAAACAATGTAAAGTAATGGCATGTTTTTAAAAAAAATTATGATATTACAAATGTGTGTAACGCTACACGTGAAGAACTTTATGTCAACATGGCTTTAAATAACAATTACAAAGACATACACATGAACAGATATATCGAAGAGTTTGGATTCCCTGTCAAAGGCCAGACTTTTATAGTACAGAAAGAATGGCATTACAACCTGGCTACATAATCTATGAAGCAAATGGGTACAAGGCATATATATATATGAGAACACAATAGAATAAAGGGTGATTTAAGGTATAGTATTGGATATTGTTCAATGTACGGGCCCGATTGTGTAATGCATGTGTGCATGTGTGAGTATGTGAGTGTCATTATGTGTTTTTTGTCTGTGTGTATGTGTGCGAATATTATTATGTATGAGGAAGTTGGAGGGAAAGCTATAGAGAGCTAGCTAGCTAGATGGATACATAAAGTGACAGTCGTAGATAGATAAATAGATAGATAATATTTATTTAGAGAGATAAACAGAGGGAGAAAGAAAAAGAGAGAGGGGGAGAGAGAGGCAGAGAGAGAGAGGGTGAGTGAGAGAGAGAGAGAGAGAGAAAAGAGAGAGAGAGAGACAGAGAGAGAGAGAGAGAGAGAGAGAGAGAGAGAGAGAGAGAGAGAGAGAGAGAGAGAGAGAGAGAGAGAGAGAGAGAGAGGGAGAGTTTCAAATGAGAGACTTTCCAAAATAAATACATGTACCGTATGTATTATAAAGTGCATTTTGATTTTACACAAAAATTGGCTCGGTAAAGCCATGACGACCATGGACAGCCGCCCCAGTAGTGGGCAAGTCAAGTGCCAGACTCTCAACAGTGATCTGAACGGCCACAGCCGCAGGTGGGGCCTGTATAACGGTCAGCTCTGAGACCTCGGCCAGCCACTGTAACATGCGCTCGCTCGGCGACCCGTCACTGCTGTCATTGCTGAAAGTGGGTACCCCTTTGGTGAATTTGTTTCGATTGCAGCGTTCCATCCGTCGCATTCTTCTTTCGTAAATGGAGTTAAGCGAATCGTGTAGTCTTAGATTGTGAATGGTCAGCGGGACTGGTTGAGTTAGTTTTGATTTCAAAGCAGACGAGCTGTCGCTTTCAACAACGTATGTTTTGACATTCGGGAGAGGTTGTTTCACTTCTTCTTCCTCATTAAACGAAACCTCTTTAGTACTGGTATCTTCCGGCAACTTGTATGAAAATTTAGTTGGAGCAGTAGGTGAGTTTGGTGGTTTTGATGGAGAGTTTTGATCATTTCCTTTCTGCTTTTCGTCCTCGGGTTGTTCCTGTTTGAGGTTGAGGTGAAGTTCCTCCTGAGGAGTCGTGGCCGGTTCTTGACGAGTTTTCATATACGGTCTTAGTTGAATTGACGGGTATGATGTAAAGTTACTCAAGGACTGAAGAGTTGAATTAGGGTCGAGTTGTCTTGTCGATTCTTGAAGCTTCAGGGTGGAGTTGAAAGCATTTTGACCGTTGGAGATCAGCCTGGGCTTGAATGGGGTAGCCGCTCGTTGCTTGTCGTCAGTCTTTTGCTGAGCTCTTGAAGAATGTCCAAAGTTTCCCGTCATTTTCTGGTGGGGGCTACGGGCATCTTTAAGAGAGGTGTCCTCTGTTGTGATTATGTAGCTGTCCACTCCTTCCATCTCCTGGCCGTACACGCGCTGGGAGTATTTGGAAGACGACACTCTGAGCCGTCTCTTGAAGGCTTCCAGAGACGCGGAGAATAGGCCAACTCTACGAGCCGAACTTTGGCGTGGAGGAGGCGTTGGGATAGCATTACCCCTCACTTCGTAGATTTCCTCAGCTACTCGGACGTTTTCGGATTTGCCGATATTATTGTTAACATCTTTGTTGTCTGTAGCTTCAACTCCTGTATGCCTGACCTTTTTCATGAAGTTCATGATGCCGGTGTTCTGTTGGTTCGTTTGGTTCTCTTCTTTGTCGTTTCCGTCATATTGATTAACTCTGTTGGCCCCTGAAGAACCCGTGGAAGGGAAGAGAGAGGATGTACAAGGGGAGGAATCTCCGTCAGCTTGAAACTTTACACTCTTTGGTCGGGTTAACGCTACTCGTTTACTGCTTTGGGCCGAAATAGGAGACTTTTTGACTGGTTCCCGACACTCTTGTCCCTCCTGATTCTCCCTAGCCTTTGCGGGAGTAACGTGGACAGGCTTTTCCATCTTCAAGTGACGTCGACGAAATCTGCGCAGGAGCCAAGCCGAGGCCCTGTCTTTTGGGCTGGGAGGCGAGGCTGTGGGTGGCTGCGGCCGATGGGGACTTGAGGATATTTGTTGCTGTTGTTGCCGAGTTGTGTCTCGTCGGGTGCTTGTTGGAATGGTGTCGACGTCGATGCGTTCCTTTGTATGAACCAGTACTGTGACATTCTGGGATGTGTTTTGTGTGGTACCCGCTGTAGCCACTGGTTGACCGAGACGAACCGGCGACTGGTGTTGAGCATACTTGGAAGTCCGTGTTGCCAACTCATGCCTGAAGTGGAGAATAGATTGAATTCGGTTTAAACGTTTTTGAAGTTATAGACACATTTATGGTGCTCTTTGAATAGATGAGAACAGGAACAAAATATTTAATTAAGAGAAAGATTTGATATAAACATTATTGACTTTCCTCTGTAGCTAAAATACTAAATTTACCATCAGCAGTATTTATGAGTTTGAGCTCCAAAAAGACGAAATTGTGGGACCCACACTGGTTGCAATCAAGTGAAAGCACGGCAGCCTATATCAGGGTGTGACTGTGTTTTCGAGAAATCACGTTTTACATTAACTAAAAAATCATAATTGTCTTTAAAGAACTGGCACGTCTCATAAGAATATATTTGTCAATGTCCTTGCAGTAAAAGTAGCAAGAGAGATTCGCCTCTTCAACTTTCAAATTGATTTTCATGAGACATGGAATTTCTTAGAGCAAACTGTTACGTAGTAGTAGAATTTAGAGAACTATTCAACGTGCACAAGCATACTTCAGTACCTCAGTCCCGTGCCAGGAGGGGCGCGTCCAGCCATCTCCACGATGGAACTGCGCAGGGTTTCAGCTCGGGACTGATGTACGATTGTTTCCTTCGTGTGTCCATTATGTTCCATTGGGTCGTGGGTCGAACCCAGAGGGGAGGAGTCTCCCCTGTCGGGGCTCATGGCCGTTGTTGAGAAGGTCGACTCTTACAGACGCTGTGGAAAAATCAATAGGGGTTAGAATAGGTTTAAATGGTTTGGACACCTTATGAAAATGGGGCCATATCAGCCAACCTCAAATGCTTACAGCATGAGATTGAATGGACTCAAAGCAAAAGGATAGCTTATATGGATCTTAGGAGTCAATAAGAACCTTCAAAGGAACAACACGACGAAGCAACACACTTGGCCCACGTCCGACGATTGCACCTCGCCTCGACACCTTGCGGTACATAAGGACCGACAAACTAAAAGTAAAGTAAGTAACGATTGTTTTAAGTGGCAACTGAGTTGTTCTTACTAGCCTTGTATCTGACCATCGTTGTACCGAATCAGATCAATAAATCTCTCCTCCATGAATATAGCCAAAATCAATTGGAACTTAGGTAAGTTGCTGTAGAGCCGGAAATAGTCTTCTCTTTTTAAAAAAAGTAACCTTGGTTCTAGTACTAATCAAACCTCATCTCGTTTACAAGAGTAATTGTATGTTATTACTCTGAAAGTAAGAAAGAAAGAAAGAAGAAAAAAAGAAACTAAGCACTAAAGAAAGATATAAAAGGTAGATAATTGACTGACAGATAGGCAGAGAGAGAGAGAGAGAGAGAGAGAGAGAGAGAGAGAGAGAGAGAGAGT